TAATATTTGCAATCCCTAATTGAATTGGATTAGGTCATAGCCTGAAAATGTAGAAATAGTTAGCTTAGTCTGAACCTGTCATGAATCTGAATGGCCTGGGAAGCAATGGGTAACTACCACACCAACTAAATGTGTCAGAATGGCCTGGGAAGCAAAGGGTAACTACCAAGCCAACTAAATGTGTTTGAATGGCCTGGGAAGCAAAGGGTAACTACCAAGCCAACTAAATGTTTTTGAATGGCCTGGGAAGCAAAGGGTAACTACCAAGCCAACTAAATATGTTTGAATGGCCTGGAAAGCAAAGGGTAACTACCAAGCCAACTAAATGTGTTTGAATGGCCTGGGAAGCAAAGGGTAGCTACCAAGCCAGCTAAATGTGTTTGAATGGCCTGAGAAGCAATGGGTAACTACCAAGCCAACTAAATGTATTTGAATGGCCTGTGAAGCGAAGGGTAACTACCAAGCCAACTAAATGTGTTTGAATGGCCTGGGAAGTAAAGGGTAACTACCAAGCCAACTAAATGTGTTTGAATGGCCTGGGAAGCAATGGCTAACTACCAAGCCAACTAAATGTGTTTGAATGGCCTGGGAAGCAATGGCTAACTACAAAGCCAACTAAATGTTTTTGAATGGCCTGGGAAGCAAAGGGTAACTACCAAGCCAACTAAATGTGTTTGAATGGCCTGGGAAGCAAAGGGTAACTACCAAGCCAACTAAATGTGTTTGAATGGCTTAGAAGCAATGGGTAACTACCAAGCCAACTAAATGTGTTTGAATGGCCTGTGAAGCGATGGGTAACTACCAAGCCAACTAAATGTGTTTGAATGGCCTGGGAAGCAAAGGGTAACTACCAAGCCAACTAAATGTGTTTGAATGGCCTGGGAAGCAATGGGTAACTACCAAGCCAACTAAATGTGTTTGAATGGCCTGGGAAGCAAAGGGTAACTACCAAGCTAACTAAATGTGTTTGAATGGCCTTAGAAGCAATGGGTAACTACCAAGCCAACTAAATGTGTTTGAATGGCCTGTGAAGCGAAGGGTAACTACCAAGCCAACTAAATGTGTTTGAATGGCCTGGGAAGCAAAGGGTAACTACCAAGCTAACTAAATGTGTTTGAATGGCCTTAGAAGCAATGGGTAACTACCAAGCCAACTAAATGTGTTTGAATGGCCTGTGAAGCGAAGGGTAACTACCAAGCCAACTAAATGTGTTTGAATGGCCTGGGAAGCAAAGGGTAACTACCAAGCCAACTAAATGTGTTTGAATGGCCTGGAAAGCAATGGGTAACTACCAAGCCAACTAAACATGTCTGAATGGCCTGGAAAGCAAAGGGTAACTAGCGGAATGGTGTGCAAAAGAGAAATTATTAGAACTTTGATTATCCATCAGGGTGCAGGACCAAGACCATGACAGATATGAGAATAGATGGAGAATAAAATATGCACATTAAAAGTAGTATACAATAGACTGGGTCATCAAAATATCATAATATCTACATATGTACTTGAAACTCCTTTTTTATTATTTTAATGAACAATGCCCTGATCATTAAAAGAGACTGATGGTTTATCGGGTGCCAGATAGTCAAAGTTTTTCTGTACTGTATGTGTTAGATTTCTTGTGTATAATATTTATGTAGATGTATAATATATATTGGCACTGAAGCACAATCCTAGCTCTAAAGTGCAGAGTAAGTTTAGGTACCCTCAAAAAGGGTAATGTGTGTAACGGCCCAGAAAGATTTACAATAGACCAGTCAAGATGCATCATGTCATTTTATTCAGCCCCAAAGTCCACAAGGTCTTTAAATGTGCATAAAGGGGTTACAATAGACCAGTTAATGTTTCTCTTATTTCCTTTTGGGTAGATATAAGTGTTGTCCATTTCTAATAGATTAGAAGTCAGTCAAGATAAAAAATGATGTGCTTAGTAAAGCATTAATTCAAATTTGTCATAAAAGATATTAAGTACAAAAATGCAAAATTTTGGTCTCAGTTTACAGAGGCATAACATTTTATATAACATACCTAAAATCTGCATTTATTCTGCATATAATTGTTGAAATTCCTTCTAAATGGAGACTGTTTGACTCCATATGACCTTTAACATTTTGGAGCTGTTCAATGCATAGAAGCAACTTGGTGATGGTGGACAAAGTGTCAGTGGTATCTATATACTATATGATTGTACATAAGGAAGGATCATTATAATGAAAGGCAGAGAAAGGTTAGCAGGGGTCATGCTACCAGGCGAAGTGGGTGAAAAAGTTGCCTCAGAACGGTAAACTTCGCCTTCATCTGTTAGGAAAGTGATAACTACTTCGCCCTCGGATTTTCGGACGTAAAATGGCTATAGATTATTACTTTTGAGATGCCCCCCCCTCTGGGACTTGTAATCCAAGGTGAAATGCATTAATATGTAAATAGTAATTTGCTTTTAAAAAGTGTTGTTGGTTTAGAGTATTTTTTAATGTATTACTTGTTTTTATAAATGGAGATTTTTAGGGCCATATTTGCATATTTTTGTGATAAAATCAGTTTGAAACAGTAAATCAACTTGTAATGGATATGTATCACTTCGTAAATGATTATACCACATTGCTACATATATGATATACCACATCTGTGTTCTTAATTAATTGGGCAAATAGATTCAGAAATATATATATAACATAATGAAAACAAAGTTTAAATATTATGTCATATGAGATCTAGCCTAAATATTTAAGAATGTAGGTCAAAAACACCCGACAATCTCTGTAGTGGAAGACAATCTCTGTAGTGGAATTCGAATCAATGCTGTAAGGTCAAGGTTATTTCCTGATATGCCATAATTTTCGCAAAATTACAAAAGATATATAGCAGTGAGTAAATAATATTTAACCGATTTATATTGTTAATACCAGTAGCTAGACCAATAATTCAACCATAAATATGTAGTCTTATTAATGAATTTGTTGTGACAAAGCAAGAAAGCAAATTCTTGTATTAAGAAAAACCCTCTTTCTAAAAAGAGACGCACTCGCTTGGTGCAATATGTGTTCTTGGATGTTTTGGTTTTTGGGGTGGAAGGGTCCAGTGTAGTTATTTATTTACTTTAGTGCTTTTATGTGTTGTCTGTGAATAGTTACAGTACTGTTTTATTGGGAACAAGTAAACCAGGACGAAGAGTATGTTTGAAGACCCTTTCACATAATTCCTATGACATGAATTAGATTTTTTTTTCTTCAAAGAATGAAAGAAATCTTTTTTGACTGCAATTTTACACAAAACTTGTACAAAATAAAATAAAATAATTAAGTGGCAATTTATTAAGCACTTTTATCAACTTGTAATTACAAGACTCTAATCTTGCTACTGATTTCAATTAAAATTAATTACAATGTATAGCTTCAGCTGTGTCTTATAAGTCATATGGCCAATTTGCCTGAATCTCAATCCAAACACACATCTACTACAAATATGAATAGAATGGGTATGAATACAATAATTTTTATACATGTACAAAATGGGTTGATAATAAACATATAACATATTTTTAACTTGAAAAAAAGGCATTGTTTAAATTTAAAACTGTTTAAACCATACCGAGAAATGGAACACAAAAATAAGATAATGCATATATATATATATATATATATATATATATATATATATATATATATATATATATATATATATATATATATATATATATATATATATATAATTTTGCATTTCTTGCTTTGGTCTCACTTCTCCCGGTTTAGGTTTAGCTTAGCTTCCACTTTTTCCGGTTTAGCTCCCACTTCTCCATGTTCTGACCAAAAAGAGAAGTCACTTCTCCTGTACAATTTAAGTCTAGCTTGACCCCTGGATTAGCTTTTACTGGATTTCCTGGCTGAAAGTGATCATTCCCTGTGTGAAATGTACACCCATGAACATGTTTAGTGCAAACCAAGGTCTGCCATCTAATGATGTTGTGGTTGTACTACTATTTATACATAATCTTGAGTGTGATGAACAGCATAGATGCTGATATGTTGACACATTTACACAAAGACAGATGTTTATAATGTACTGTTTTACAGTTTAATAGAGATTACATATGGGTTTATACTGTAGTGGAAACTTCCTACTCTTCACTACCCTGAATTTCATTATCTTTGGTTCTTGAGAATAGACCTTTGTATTTGGAATTATAATCCCACTGAATCCGTCTGAGGATTGGTGCTCCATAGTGTGATACTATTTTATTTCTGGCTTCTTGTCACCGACTGAGTTGCGGAGTTGCAGACTGGTTGTCCTGTGGTCATTGAGTGTTCCCAACTTGGCTGCAGAATCACTTACTGCGTCTTCAATTTGGTCACCAAGTCACTGACTGGCTCACAGACTATCTCACAGATTTGTTGACTTAGACTGTGTCAAAGAGTTGCCAAATGTGCCTTCCTCAAACCAACTAGGTCACAGAGTCATGATTGAGTTGCAGACTTGGTCACAGAGCCACTGACTTTATCTTCCTCTGGTTGCCAACTTGGTTGCAGAGTTATGGTTGCACATTGTTAGTTGCTAAAGATTGACAGAGAGACGATTTGTACAAAATGATAAGAGAAGAGAGATCTTCAGTAAAATGTATATTGTTGCAAGATTTCCATCATTTCTTGGACCAGCTTTGTAGCACCTTTAATCTGGTTGATGACAGACCCAGTTCCTTCACTTTTTAAATTCCCTGGCCTGGCCCTTTCCTATTCAGTGGACTACAACCAAATATGCTTGCTTCAGCAGGTAGTTATACTGCTTCACTTGCAAGGGACTGTCCTCACACATTACCGATTCATAACACACCACTGGCAGAATCACATGACCCAAAACTAAGACTCTTTAAGATGGCACTACAAAGCCATCTCACATGTAAAATCAGAGCACAAACTTTAACAAATTGAAAAATACATTAACAAAACATAAATTACTGTCCATGGATTTTTCTCATGGCAATACACAATTTACAGTTTGATATTACAGACCACTCCAGTGGCTTTGTGGTTAGAGCATCTGCCTCAGATGCAGAAAGCCATGGGTTCAATCCCTGGCTGGGTCATACTGAAGACTTCTAAAAATTGTACTAACAGCTGCCTCGCTAGGCACTCAGCAGTAATAGGTTAGTGTTAGGACAGGTTGGATTGCTGTCAGGATAAATTGACTGGGTGGACATCATACCACATGTCTGTGGCATGATGCCCCAGTGCTAGACATCACTATAAACTGTCACACTGCAGACATTGTAGTGATATGACTGAAATTTTTATAAAGCTACATTAAAAATCCAAATCACACATAGACACATACACTGAGATTATACATGGGTTTTTTCACTATTTACAGTTTGATCAAGGTTGCAGGTGGGTTTATACACTAGTTTACAGTTTGATGGAGATTATACATGGGTTTATTCACTACTTTTAGTTTGATAGAGATTACACTTAGGTCTTTTCACTATTTTACAGTGATAGAGATTACATATGAGTTTATGCACTAGTTTACAGTTTGACTGAGATTACACACTGGTTTATTCACTATTTACAGTTTGATCAAGATGGCAGGTGGGTTTATACATTATTTTACTTTTTGATGGAGATTACAAATGGGTTTATTCACTATTTACAGTTTGATCAAGGTGGCAGGTGGGTTTATACACTAGTTTACAGTTTGATGGAGATTATACATGGTTTATTCACTATTTACAGTTTGATCAAGGTGGCAGGTGGGTTTATACATTATTTTACTATTTGATAGAGATTACAAATGGGTTTATTCACTATTTACAGTTTAATAGGTATTACACATTGGTATATGTACTATTTACAGTTTGATTGAGGTCACACAAGGGTTTATGCACTATGTACAGTTTGATGAAGTTTATACATGGGTTTATACACGATGTACAGATTGATAGAGATTACACATGGTTTTTTGCACTATTTTACAGTTTGACAAAGATTGCACTTGGGGTTGTGCCATTTCTTCACAGTTGGATATAGATTATACATGGGTTTATACACTATGTACAGATTGATAGAGATTACACATGGTTTTTTGCACTATTTTACAGTTTGACAAAGATTGCACTTGGGGTTGTGCCATTTCTTCACAGTTGGATATAGATTATACATGGGTTCATACACTGTAATCTAATAGAGATTACACATGGTTTTTTGCACTATTTTACAGTTTGACAAAGATTGCACTTGGGGTTGTGCCATTTCTTCACAGTTGGATATAGATTATACATGGGTTCATACACTAATCTAATAGAGATTACACATGGTTTTTTGCACTATTTTACAGTTTGACAAAGATTGCACTTGGGGTTGTGCCATTTCTTCACAGTTGGATATAGATTATACATGGGTTCATACACTGTAATCTAATAGAGATTACACATGGTTTTTTGCACTATTTTACAGTTTGACAAAGATTGCACTTGGGGTTGTGCCATTTCTTCACAGTTGGATATAGATTATACATGGGTTCATACACTGTAATCTAATAGAGATTACACATGGTTTTTTGCACTATTTTACATTTGATAATTACTATACATGCATTTATACACTATTTTACAATCAGATAGCTATTATACATGCATTTGTACCATGCAGGATTCAGACTTGTTTGATGTTAGCAACCAGAACTTTAAATATATAGATAAATTCTAGTAAGGAGATGATTACATTTTTATGTAGATGTGTTTTTTTTGTCTTAATAAAATATCAAGTTCAATGCATCCATGTACATGTTCACCTTCGTATGTTTGTTCTAAATACATGTATGTTCCGCAATCAGCTCTATATTTGTTTCCTAGATTAGATAGGTTGAGAATGGTTTTGGGATACAAGCTCCAGCTCTTCTTCTTCTGCACATTTTTAAAAATAAATAAAGGTTTTGGTTATTTTTTGATTGCCTCTGTCTCAGTGACCCTTTCTCCATTTAGCATGCTATCTTTTCCAATGATTTTCGATGAATATTCATGAGGCCTGGTGCAATTGTTCCCGAATGATGTAGAGTGTCATGAATATGTTTTGCCAAAATTATGTTCAGAGTGGCTCTCCTAGCAACAGTTTGGCATATATTGCAGCCAACATATTTTCAGCTTCTTCTTCAGTACAGCTCAGCCAATTTTTTGTTATAAAAATTTGGTAGTGATATTTGTTAGCACATGTTCTGTCAAAACTATTTCCAGGGAAGCACTTTTTGCAAAGATGTAGCTTCTTCAACATCCAGCAGAAAACAGTTTGTCTTCCTTAGTAACCATACGTTAAAGCTATTTTCATCTATTTTCTACTTCTTATCTAGATCAGCTGAGTTAGTTTTGATCAGGCTTAATAGGAATTTTTTTAGGACATACATTATAAAAATGTTTTATTTGGAGATTTCCCAGTCATTGGTGTGGCTTCCTTAGCAAACAGGTGGAAAACCCATTTTTAACTTCTTTTCTTGACAGATGATCCAATTTTAGTCAAACTTGATAGGAATATTTGTTGAAACATACTTTATATTAAACTTCTAACAGAGGTGTGTCTTCCTTAGCATCCAGGTGGAAGTTACATTTTAGGCTTCTCTAGAATTTGCATAGCCAGTTTTTCATCAATTTTAATTGGAATGTTTCTTGGGATATGCTCTATTAAATTTATATCCAATGTGGCTCTCTTGGCAATGTTGTGGCTATCATAGCAGACATATTAAAACAGTCTATTCTTAACTAATTCAGAATGGTCTGACCATTTTGATCAAACTTGAATGAATATTTTGTTGGGGATTCTCTGTCAAAGTTGTATCCCAGGGAGGGGTCTTATCTATCTGTCATGTGGCTTCCATAGTAACCAAGTGTAAACTTGTAAATTATATTTATCTTTCATTAGGTATGGCAATTGTGATAAATATATTTGCATATATAGTACCAAATGGCTTAACAGTAGGTAGAGTTGTAGCATAAATACCAAATGTGATACCAGTAGATAGAATTGTAGCAAGAATACCAAGTGTGATATCAGTAGGTAGAGTTGTAGTGTGATATCAGTAGGTAGAGTTGTAGTGTGATATCAGTAGGTAGAGTTGTATTGTGATATCAGTAGGTAGAGTTGTAGTGTGATATCAGTAGGTAGAGTTGTAGTGTGATATCAGTAGGTAGAGTTGTAGTGTGATATCAGTAGGTAGAGTTGTAGTGTGATATCAGTAGGTAGAGTTGTAGTGTGATATCAGTAGGTAGAGTTGTATTGTGATATCAGTAGGTAGAGTTGTAGTGTGATATCAGTAGGTAGAGTTGTAGTGTGATATCAGTAGGTAGAGTTGTAGTGTGATATCAGTAGGTAGAGTTGTAGTGTGATATCAGTAGGTAGAGTTGTAGTGTGATATCAGTAGGTAGAGTTGTATTGTGATATCAGTAGGTAGAGTTGTAGTGTGATATCAGTAGGTAGAGTTGTAGTGTGATATCAGTATGTAGAGATGTAGTGTGATATCAGTAGGTAGAGTTGTATTGTGATATCAGTAGGTAGAGTTGTATTGTGATATCAGTAGGTAGAGTTGTAGTGTGATATCAGTAGGTAGCGTTGTAGTGTGGTGTCAGTATGTAGAGTTGTAGTATGATATCAGTAGGTAGAGTTGTAGTGTGATATCAGTAGGTAGAGTTGTATTGTGATATCAGTAGGTAGAGTTGTAGTGTGATATCAGTAGGTAGAGTTGTATTGTGATATCAGTAGGTAGAGTTGTATTGTGATATCAGTAGGTAGAGTTGTAGTGTGATATCAGTAGGTAGAGTTGTAGTGTGATATCAGTAGGTAGAGTTGTAGTCTGAATACCAAATGTGATACCAATAGATAGAGTTGTACCGTGAATACCAAGTATTTTACCAGTAGGTAGAGTTGTAGTTTGAAATTACCAATAGGTAGAGTTGTAGTATGAAAAGCAAATGTGATACCAGTAGGTAGAGTTGTATTGTAAATACCAAATGCAATACGAGTAAATAGTGTTGTAGCTTGAATACCAAATGCGATACCTGTAGCAAGAGTTGTAGTGTGAATACCTTTTACAGTCATACAGAAAATACTAATGCACCATATAGTTGAGATGCAGTTTAACATCGTGTTAGATACTAACATTTTGTCCCAATTACTTGTAATTATGCTGACATAAATGCCTTTTATTCAGAGACACCTTGCATTATCATTATATTTACCTGAAGGTGAGCTATGTTAGATGAACTTTTGCTTGATATTCCTACTAGATATGCAGTTAAAATTGATGATGATATGTAGACACATGATTTTATTTTGAATCATTCTGTTATTCATTATTATAAGCTGACATTTTATTCCCCTTAAAATGTGCATTTATTCACTTATGGATAGCAGTAATAGAATCTTGAGTCCCATGGTAAATTACATTACATTTACTATAAATATCTCTTATACTACACAACCATATATACCATGAAGTTTGTTAGGAGTAATCAGTGGACCAAATATATAATATATACCTCACTGTGAATATGATACACTTAGATCTGCTGTCACATAACATACCACCAGATCTGGATCTATGCATCAATGAGCCATAGTGGTTCAATGGATAGTTGCTGCAGGTTTGACTAAATGGCAAAATGCTACAAGTACTGAATGAGACTATGTCAGTTACCATCATATGTCCATGAACAAGGCTATCTGCTTCCGTTGCATTGGCACTAAATGGTCTGCTTGTGTTGGTGTGCCATAAAACCAAACCATTTGACTTGTGAGAGGACTGCAGCATAGACACAGATATGTCATTGCATTTTGCAAAAGTGCATTTTTGTGTACACTTTTTGCAGTTGGTTGTTACCAGATAATTTAGCTGAACTAAGGCATTAGCATATAAATCAATTTAAAGTCTTAATTATGGAAAAACCACACAATTGAAGTTAAATGAATTCTCAAAAAATTCTGAAACACTTTGAAAATTGAATGATACATTTTAAAGTTGTGAGTATCTGGTTTGTATATTTATGATCTTGAAGGTATATTGCAGTGCTGACAAAGCTGGGGCCAAGCTGTGTGTATAAGACTG